AAAAAAAAAAAAAAAAAAAAAAAAAAATTTTTTTTTTTTTTTTAAGCAAAACAAGAGGATGATCATAAATATACCTTTTGGGGAAAAATAGAACTGTGTGACAATTTCCATTTGAGTCACACCAACCATTTAGGCACAGACAGAAAACAACTTCCATCCTGATGTATTATTTCCTGAAACTAGTGGTGAATCAAAACCATGCTAAAATCAGGTGCAGTTCCAATGGCAACATGAACACAAAACAGTATAAAATCTCAAAAGATTTAGAGCAAATATTTCAACTCAGGAGGACACTGTAGGCTATAGAATTACAGAAATTACTTCTCAATTGTTTGAATGAGCATCCGTACATATTACTGAGCAGGGAGACCAAATGTGTTATGTTTATCTGTATGTGTAGTCTGTACTATTGGCTCCACTGCTGTAGCCTCCCAGGTTGGGGTAGGCGCTCTGGGTGAAGCTATAGCTCTGATTTGTTGTTCCAGGTGGCCCGAATGCTGCTGTACCAGGTGGTCCATTGTATGCTATTAAAAAAAAAAAGAAGTTTCAGAGAGTTGTGGGTTAAACGCATATTATTACACAGCATGTAAGCATTCAAACTCACCTGCATAATTGAAATCAGGTGGTCCCCCCATACCCATGCCAGGCCCTTGATATCCGTAGCCGTAATCTGGCCCAACAAGAGGAGCTTGTTGATTTGTTGTTTTGCTCTGGATTTGATTTTGAGTCTGAGTCTGATTCTGGCCCTGATTGAGGGGTGTTTTGAATTGTGAATAGGATTGGGTGTACTGATTATAATAGCTAGTCACTGGTGGTGGTACAGCTTGGTATGTGGCCGCGCTGATGGTGGAGGTTGCAGACGGGTCCTCCTGGGGATTCATAGGTGTGCTGGAGTTGGTAACAGACTGGGCTGGGGTCAATCCAGCAGTAGTGGTGGAGCCTGGAGAGACAAATTGATAGAGAATAAAAGTTAAGACGACATCCACATTACAGGAATAGGTAACATGCATTTGGAATCTACATTTACCTATGCAAATAAGCTCTAGTGGAGTAGTGGAGACATACATGTTGAACATATGTTAAATATATATATATATATATACATACACCGGTTCAAAAGTCTCTGATCTGTTTTTTTTTAAAGTCTCTTATGCTCACCAAGGATGCATTTATTTAATTAAATACAGTAAAACAATATTGTAAAATCTTAGCATTTAAAAACTTTTCTATAGAAATATATTAAAAATATATTTAAAAATCTTATTTTTTTCCTGTGAATTTTTTTTTATGACTTTTCTTTGCCTGAAAATCATAAAAAGGTATTTAAAATAAGTATTAAACATTAGCATCCAAAACAATATTTTTGCCCAGTACTAATGAGCACTTGGTGTATGATGTAGTAGAATTTTTTTCTACTTCCTCGTCATTCAGGTGATAATCTAACCATGGAAATCAAAACAGTGATGCTAAATGAGCTAAACTGTCAAACAAGATGAGGTTAATGCCTTTCATGATGTTAGTGTACCTGCAAACTTGCCAGTGTTGAATCCTCTGCCTCTACCTCTTCCTCGATTTCCTGCATTGTAAGACACTCCTGCCATACCATAGCCCTAAAGAAATAAAAACGTTTTAGACCAAAGGACAAAACGATATTAAACAGACCAAAGCACAAAACAATATTAGGAAAGGAGGAGGCCAAGAGAAGATCCAGAATAACATGTTGCCTTTACCATAGCAGGGAATTTCTTTTTTTTGAGTGGGTCTGCAGGAGAACCTTCTGGAAAAAGCTGTTCTAAT